ACAATAATATAAAGCAGGTTGAGTTCATGACGGAATTGAAAATTGACAGCGTTGAACTCATTTCTGTGAAACGGAACGCATCCATCATTGCTGTAATCCCCATCGGCCAAACTCGAGCTCAGTTTTTTTACATCAGAGGAGTTTGATGAACCTTCCATTTCAATGTTGCCCATGTGTGTGATATTGCGTCCTAAAGGCATTTAACAGAAAAAGATCGTATCAATGTAATCAACAGAGAAAAGAAAGGTATGAAAGTACTGACTCAGAAACTAGTGGTATGAATGTACTGACACAGAAACTAGTGGTATGAAAGTACTGACACAGAAACTAGTGGTATGAAAGTACTGACTCAGAAAATAATGGTATGAAAGTACTGACTCAGAAATAAGTGGTATAAAAAAATAGACTCAGAAAATATGGTATAAAAATGGACTCAGAAAATAATGTTATAAAAGTATCGACCTTTCGGAACATGAGTAAATTGAAGAGGGATATAAAGTAGTTTGTAAAACCTTCGGTATTCTTGGAGTCGACAGATAAAGTTTCACCCAATACAAATTTGTTACTTGTGTCAAACACATAGCTTCGCACTGTGAACGTATTGTTTGAGAAAAAAAAGCTTCGCCATGTACATATATTTTTTGTACTGAACGTATACCATCGCCATCTACGCAGCGGCGTACATAGGGAATGCCGGGGCCAAACCGGGTGAGACCATCTCATGGGGTGACAATAAATTGGAAAAATTGCATTTTGCATCGGTGAACGCTCCTTCTACTTCCATGGGCCCACGTTCTGGAACCAGCTCCCCTTCCATATCCGTCATTGTGAAACCTTGTCTACTTTTAAAAAGTCCCTTGAAACCCATCTGTTTAGGTCCGCCTATGACCTGTGATGCACCCTCCTAGCCCTGCCTCATTTTCTGTCTCGGGTTAATCCTGTAATATAGGCCAAAACGTGCCATAGTGTCCTCGTTTTATAGCCATTTTAATTGTTTCTATAGTATAGTAGTTACTATCCTAATGTCTCATTTTTATTTTAGTTAGTTTACATGTTTTTAATAATTGTAAAGCGCTTAGAGCTTTAAGGTAAGCGCTATATAAAAATGCCTAAATAAATAAATAAATAAATATTGACAGAGCACACACTGCTTGGTATAACCGAATTTTACAAAGGATTATCTTTTGCAAGTAAATTTTACACACGTGTTCCTAAACCAAGTGCGTAATTTATTTTAAATTCAAAACTGATGCGTCAGAAATTTAGACGAACCTTTTATTAGGTCAGAAAAACAACGTTTTGAGGATGATTCAAAGCCGTTTGAAGTTTTCGGTTACTTTAAAGGTGACACACTTTTGCCCAAAAATGTCTTCATGTATTACATTTTTCAGTACTCTTGAGAGCAAATTTTCCTTCTGTGATGCATCCACTCATTGATTGGATGTTCATTTAAACACACTGGAGTGTCGGTGAAAAGACTGCCAACAACGCGTTGGAGTGCTCATCATGCTGCTGTTGGAACAGTGAAAGAAACGTTTGATGAAAGTATGGCGGCCATTGAAGCTCTTTGTAATCCTGTTGAAAATTTGGTTACAAGAGGTCCAGCACAAGGTTCTCTGAGTTCATGTTTTTCTGCTATTTTACCTTTAAGCTGATCTACTTGAAGAAGTTAATCTTACACAGCAATATCTACTGACTAAAAGCTTTACTTTTTACAAAGTGGTGACCAACCTATAGGCTTTAAGATTGCTTTTGCACGAGAAGTTCTATCACTTGGTGGAACATGCTTTTGATAGGGCACGCTTGAAAGCAGACCAATATAGAATCTCGATAGAGAAATAATTTAGGGTTAAGAAGAGCATGGCAATAGAGCAATTAACACATGCTGGACTCTCTCTGCGAGAAGAAAAAGGTAGGGAGGTGCTGGATTATCTTGATCACTTTTCATTCTGAACTCCAGATCAGATCATCGGCGATCAAGGATATAGTTGTGGCTGTTCGACCAAAGAGTCTACTATCAGCCATTGAAGAATAGTTATTGCTGTCCGTTCCAAAATTAACCACTTTCTATGATGATTCATCAGAAATCACCAGAAGAGGTATTTTTAAAAGAAATATCACTGTCAAGACTTAGCAAACACCTAAAGGCAGCTGATAAATAAATTCACAAAGTCATGGACTAGTCAGTATTTGATGTTTTGAAATTCCTAGCTGATTGGGACTTCCTAGATACTCCCCAAACACTCCCGCCAATTGTTTCTTACGATCTGTGTATCTACGTTTGAGCTGAGCTTTTCAAAACTAAGACTTATCAAGAACTATTAACGTTCTACAAGGGTCATTCAAGGCATTTTTATCTGGCTCTACTATCACTTGAAAGGGCTACGGCAAAGGATATTGATTTTGATCAAGTGATCGACTGGTTTACAATTGTAAAGACCAGGAATGATTTTTTTGGTTGAAATTTTATATTTAATAGAAAAATAACTATAAGTTTACGTTGCTACAGTTATTAATTATATTTACCCCCTGGCCTTCAATTTATTTGTTTTTGTTCTTGTCATACTGTGGACTTATTTAACACGAAGAAATCAATCTTGGAAGGCTGAGGGGGGGGGGAGGTTGTTGGTTTACACCAAGAGTTTACCTCACAGCTAATTTGATTGAAAGGTATAGCATCTCCATTTGCAATATATTACTTGCGATCAGCGTATAACTTGACAATAAACTCAAAAAGTCCTTGCGTCCAGTGGCGTAGCGAGGGTGTTTGGCGCCTGGGACAAGATTCGCGCCCGGGGATAAGATCCATTTTTAGCGCCCCTTTTTCTTTTTTTTCAACTTTCGAACCCATTATTTTCATCAATAAAATAATATCAATTTGGCGCCCCTAACTAGTGGGCGCCCGGGGACATCTGTCCCCCCTGCCCCCACCACGCTACGCCTCTGCTTGCGTCAAACATAACGCTTCCTTCTATACTACATAATTTATGTTTAGTAAATAGATTCAAAATGCACACACAACTTTCGTGTTGTACATACGGATAGCTTCACTCTACACCAGTGTTTCCCAAACTTTCGCGTTCTGCGCATCCCTGTCTATAATTTTAGTAGTACTTGTACAACTAGTTTTAAAAAATCCAAATACCTTATTAACATTTTTACAAAAAAATGTATTTCTTCCTTTGCAGCGCGTCGCAACACAAAACTCTTCCCGTTACACCAGGGGGAACGAGTAAGATATTTCTGGCGACTCTCCACTTTACGGATATATACGAATTTTATTGAACGTTTTGTCCCGAGGCTGAGAATTTGCGATGTCAGTCGACTCCAAGCAGTACCAACATTACATTAACGTCGTTCACCTCCGCTGATGTAGAAAGAACACGGGGACCCCGTCCCCTGCCACTGCAACATCAGCCCCGTTGTGACCGTCTCGTCGTTGCAGAAGACATCGAACGTGTTGGCGCTGACCTCCGTCCACCGCAGCGACTCGCACATGGTGCTCTCCCACACTCCGTCCGCGTTGCTTTGCCGGAGAGACAACGACATGTTGGAAACGGTCGCTGTACGTAAGATATGGCAGATGACACATCATACACGGACATCCAGAGCCGTCCCGCCCCACTAATCTGGCACTCACCCAAATCTTTCGCACCTGTATAAAATTAACTATTTTTTTAAAAATTAGATTTATATGCTTAAGTCTATCATTATATTGTATAAGTATGCTTGTAAAATATGTCTCTTGAAAAATGTAGAAACAAATTTGTGACATCGAATTTTATTTGGAATTAGGTTAAAAACTACTTTGACAGTCGTGGACAAACAGCTTTTGTTTGGACACTCAAGCCGCAAATTTTATAGAATGTGTTGTAATCAGCAACAAATCTGTGTGCCAAGTTTCAGCGCTTTAGTTGGACGGGAAGTGGGTCAATTAGCCGACTTTCGATTTAGCCATCCAGCAAGCCACAAGTGAAAGTGAAGTTAATAGAAATGAAGATAAAATATGTTCGTGCCAGTAAAATGAGTTCACGACAGCTGTAATTTACTTAGATAATACTATTCGTGCTATTTTAGACCGGAGTCCTCAAACTGCGGACCGCGGGCTACATCCGTCCCATCATGTGTAATTGGAACCAAACCGCCTTCCCGTCGTAAGGTTACCTGTTCTGGCCTCATGGATAAATACAAACTATACCTTGCTGAGGGCTGTACTTTTTTTTTTATTGGATAGTTTTTAGTTCAATTCGATTGGGAGAAACTTATCACCCGATTGGTGCCGGGCTGATTGTGTCCCTCGGGGAGCGAATGGTTTGAGGACCCCTGTTCTAAGCTCAAAGTTACATGAATATGATACCATGTTAACGGTTGTAATTTATTAATCATATTGTTGCCGGAGCTGATTGTGTCCCTCGGGGAGCAAATGGTTTGAGGACCCCTGTTATAAGCTCACAGTTACATGAATATGATACCATGTTAACGGTGGTAATTTATTAATCATATTGTTGCCGGAGCTGATTGTGTCCTTCGGGGTGCAAATGGCTGATGGGACAGATTCAGGTACGATTTTATTTTTATTATGCCGTAGGTACAAGAGAGAAATGGATCATCTCCAATGGCCGTAAGGTGCAGGGGCTTTTCTAGATTGCTGCAGCCGTTCTGTCAACTTAGTGGTGCTTGGATCATTTGATTACGGAAGAGTTCTCCAAGGCTAAATTGCTCCCAGGTGACCGGGTTGATACTCAGGACTTTTAATAAGGTTTTACCGGATGAATATTTTTTTTTTTGAGGTGCGTTGGGGGAGGAAGGGAATATTTCTACTGTCAATCAGTACACCACCTGCCATGTTCAAGGTTGGTTGCAATAAAATAGATCTTATGCCTGAATTTTATTAATAATTACACATGCAATCTCATACCATTGCTCTCAAAGACTATCCTGGCCCAGGTAAACAGAAATGGTTCAAGGACTTCCGCCACGACATGCTTCTCCGTGGACATGCTACAGGTCGAGTCGTCATTGTCCTTCAGAGCAAGGTCCAGCTGTAAAGCAACGGCACCCAGGTCGCCTGGTGAAGGACACATGTTAGATTAGTGTCGTTCAGAGGAGTGTTTTTGCATCAAAGCCAGGGCACTAAGATCACCTGATCAGGGATACAAAAAAGAAGCGGGTGTTGTTCAGAACTTGTTGTTTGACGTGTCACGGCATTTGCACTCAGGTCACATTGGCAGCGGTACATTATAAATTAGTGTCATTCAGAAATGTTTTGGAATCGCAGCAGGTCACCTGGTCAAACATGCACATTTGACTTGTTTCATTCAAAGCAGTGTGTTGTATCACGGCATTGGCGCTCTTTGAACTGAGTGATTAAACTACATGGTTACAGTGGGACACTCAAATTTAACATTATCAAAATTATTTGTTTTTCCGTTTTTTTTTGTTGTTTTTTTTGTTATCTGCCAAAGAAGGCATTTAACCGAAACATCATTTCAATTGTTCTGTCTTTTTCTAAAGTCTAAAAAAAACTTTGTTCAACTTTATGTACGAAGTTCCCCATTCATTATTCTTATTGTATTGAAAAGCCAAAGCTAAAGTTTCACGATTTTTTTTTTTGAACCACAGCCAAAGTCTTCTTAGTAAACTCTTGAGCGAAATCTAATTCCTTGTAACCTGGTGAGCCAAAGCCAATTTCTTAATTGAACTATTGAGCCCAAGTATTAGTGAATTCGTGAGCCAAAGGTATAGTCTTAGTGAAATCGTGAGCGAAAGCTAAAGTCGTAGTGAACTGTTGAGCCATAGCAGAATTCAGTAAACTAACGTGCCAAAGCTAAAGTCTTAGGAAACTGGCGAGCCAAAGCTGAAGTCTCAGCGTATTGGCGAGTCAAAGATACATTTTAAGTGCTTCGGCAAGTCAAAGACTTACTGTATTGGCATGCCAAGGCGAACCACCCTTGGCTACAAGGGACACCGTTATTGCAGTGACCTGACCTATCACATGCCTGTTTCTTGCAGTGACACGAAATTTCACATTTTCCCCCAGCCCATCCCGTTGGGCAGTCATTGTCTGGGAATACAAAATTTAAATAAATAATTGACAGTAACTTCTTACGACATTAAAAAAAAATTGATTCAAATGAACAAAAAGTTTTCTTTTACATGTAGCGATTGTAGACTAAAATATTTCTTTCTATTTAAAAGAACGTCCTTGTCTTTCGAATATTCCCTTTGAGAAGTTAAGTCTCTACCCCTGACACCTACGATGTGCATATAAAATTAGTTAAAAATTCAAACACTTGTATTTATCTGTTCTTGTGACAATGTTGTCTTTGGTTTTTTTAAGCCCTACATAAAGCCGACATAACAATAAACAACTTTGTCTGATTTATAAGTCTGAAATAAACATATCTAAGAAATTACATCCGAAACAATAGTAAATGCTTCACTGTGCCTCGGTGTAGCACAGTCTAATATAAACCATACTTCTTACCACGCACAATAATCGCTTGCTGTGCCTCGGTGTAGCACAGTCCAATATAAACCATACTTCTTCCCACGCACAATAATCGCTTGCTGTGCCTCGGTGTAGCACAGTCTAATATAAACCATAATTCTTCCCACGCACAATAATCGCTTGCTGTGCCTCGGTGTAGCACAGTCCAATATAAACCATACTTCTTCCCACGCACAATAATCGCTTGCTGTGCCTCGGTGTAGCACAGTCCAATATAAACCATAATTATTCCCACGCACAATCATCGCCTGGCACCACCTGGACAATGCCGCCGTGGACTCGACAACAATCGAGAGCTTCAAGGCTGCCCTGGCAAACGCTAGGAGCCGTTAGAATAGCAGCATCGCTTCCACAACCGTTGCACATAGGCCAGTACATGGATTCAGCAAAGTATCCTACCAGAACAAGGCCCAGAATCGTTTCTTCAGACTCTCTCCATTGCCTGTCTCAACAGGAAATTGTCATAGCCGTCAAAAGAAATGTTCAGGAAAAAAAATTGTATTCCGTTATATATTCCCACAATTAACACATGGGGATTTTATGGGATTTATTTTTAAACAAAGATATAGCTACGAGAATTACACAATTGAAAATGTCGTTTAAAATGCTACGTTTCAAATGATTCTCTCTATAAAATGTGCAACGTGAATAAAATCTGCTCGTCACCGTCTTAGCAGAACTAAATCCAAGTTGATCCTGGGTCACCGACACCAGAGACTGATGACACAAACGTTAATAAAGCACTGTCCACATAATTTTTACTACAACAGGCTCAAAAGAAAAAAAAAAAATCAACAGGGACCCGACTTGTCAGTATTGCAAGCTGGCCCCGGAGATAGCAGAGCATCTGTAGACTTCGCGTCACGCTCTAGATGTTGCAGGGGCGGTGGGAGCGCCCTACGTGCAGACAATGTTACATAACACGGCTCAGCAGATGGATCCGGTTACAAGTGTACCAAAAGGGTTCTTTAAGTTCGTAAGCTCAAGCCCTTACCAGAACATGTGTGTTTGTAATGTTCAATCTGCAACCTCTGTCCCCCCAGAATATATCTAATTTTCTACGAACAGAAATGGGACCTTCTATTCATAATCGATTGTTAAAAGAGTAGACCCCGCCTATGGTCAATCAGTCAGGCGTGGGGGACTTCAACATACACCGTAATATTTGGACAACGAGTGCACGCACTCACACCCTCACAACAAAATACAGGAGTGGACATTAACGAAAGAAGATCATTTAGTCTAAAACTATCAAGATCATGTAATCAAAACACGAGAAGATCATTTAATCAAACCACGAGAAGATCATTTAATCAAACCACGAGAAGATCATTTAATCTAACCACGAGAAGATCATTTAATCAAACCACGAGAAGATCATTTAATCAAACCACGAGAAGATCATTTAATCAAACCATGAGAAGATCATTTAATCAAACCACGAGAAGATCATTTAATCAAACCACGAGAAGATCATTTAATCTAACCACGAGAAGATCATTTAATCTAACCACGAGAAGATCATTTAATCTAACCACGAGAAGATCATTTAATCAAATCACGAGAAGATCATTTAATGTAACCCTGACGAGATGACTTCAACTAAGCCCCACAAGATCGTTGAACCTAACCCTCACAGTCTTAAAGCTCACTGAGACCTTACGACGTACAGTTCACTTAAAGCTCACTGAGACCCTACGACGTACAGTTCACTTAAAGCTCACTGAGACCCTACGACGTACAGTTCACTTAAAGCTTAAAATGTTGCTATCGTACAAACATATCGTCATACGCTGATCTGCCTCCTGTCGTTTTCTTCTCGCCTCAGCGGAGTCGTTGAACTGGTGTGTCTCCTCATGACCTGGTCCCTCGACTGGTTATCGATGTGACGGCGCATGGAAAACATAGTATATATAACTTTTGTTATAGGAAAATAAAATACAGGAATGCCATTATGGGCGTTTTTGGAATCATAGCGTCTACTATTTAGTACGAGAAACGGATGCATTGAAGTGTCAATGTAACCGTTGCAGATGAGACCGGATACTTTTATGTGCAAGTTCGTATCAAATCATCCTTAGAACTAATGCAAACTTATGTAGTTGATCAACAAATGAAATTTTAAAAAGAACATCGTCATTGGTGCCTTAAGTCCACCTTTCAAGGTAGCTTGGTTTGCTAATATACATGGTCCTTGCTTTAGATCAAAAGCAAGTGCCTTAAAAAAACCATACCTATGATGTATATTCTTTAATTATATACTGTATTTATGACATATTTGCTATCAATTCTTGACATATAAGCTGTCTAATTTGAAATGTATGTTGTCTAATCTTGACATATTAGCTTCTATGGTTTTCTTGAATGTGTGCCGTCTATTCTTGACATATCTTACATAAAGAATCCTGGTTTTTTATATTTTTGTTTTCAAAATTTAAAACATCCAAAATGTCGGAGAAAACTGATTTTGTGAAATTAAAAAAAAAAAAAAAAAAAAAAAAAAAATAAAAAAAAAAAAAAAAACGAAAAAAAAAAATTTTTTAAAAATAAAAAAAAAAAAAAAAAAACGAATAAAATCAAGTTATTATTATTATAATTATTATTAATGATATCATCATTTCCATTTCAGAACTTGAGTCTTCAAAAATTATAAGGTTTAAAAAAAAAAAAAAATTATAAAAAATCAGAGTGGTCAAATTGTTCAAACTTTTAAAGAGGGAATGAACACGTTACCCACAACTTAACTGTAAAGTTGTGCAACATGTTGTCCTGGTTAAACATTTAAGATTCATTAAAAACCCAGTGTCTTAATACGGGAAGCAATTCAAGTTTTCTAAGGAATTTAAGCAGACCCCGCTAGTAACAATTTCAGGGAAATTTTTTAATGAACTTATTTTGGACCTTGAAGACCAAAAACAAATAACTTATTTTGGCAACTATCTTAAACAAAATTAACTAATGAGACATACCGGTGAACATACACACAGTGATTGATGAATTATTGCAGTTGACGGTCGTAATTTTGAGACCCGACGTTAGCACGAGACAGTATCCTTTTCTCAGGGTTCTTTGATAGTGAGAAATGAGACTCCCGTTCACATATTTCCCACTGTCCCGCCACCCGAACTTCATTTCTTTGACCCGATTGATGGCACCCAGCCAAACGTTTCTGCGATCTGAAAATTTTTTTTTAAAGAAAAGATGGTTACATGCTATTATTTCTATCAAATAAAAAATACTATTAAGACATGCATGTCATAAGGAGATCATTGCAAACAATTCTATTATTAATTATCATTTTAACTTACAATGTAATATTAGTCTTATTTTGATTTTTTTAAATTACTGTAAAAAAAAAAATTCAAAACACACTATTAAACCTTAGAAAAATGTAATTATAATATTTTAGATATTATTTTCAAGTCCTTCTGAGGGACGGTGTCACTGTGAAACCATTTGAGCTTGGGTCAAGATTATGATTGAGTCGGTGTTCAGAAGTCTACTCTGTGGAGGTACTAAGCAGATACAATCACAGAGGACATAGACGATACAGTAAAACACCCTATTTGGGTTTAAAATTTAAATTATAAAGATCCTAACTTGGACAATATCTTTTGTAATTTTAAGTGAACCGAGGAATAAGAGCACCTGCTTATCTTTAACATTGCCACAAACGGGAGTTGTCTATGTTTAAATATATATATATATATATATATTTATGTGGTTTTTTTCCACAATTTATTTTTCATGTAATACTACAGAGTAAACATAGTTATAAATAATATGGCTCTTTGATTATTTTTCACAAAACATTGGTCACATAAATTTAGTACATATTAGATAAACGACTTGTTTAAGACTCTAAATTTATTGCACTAACAGCGACAGATACCTTCATTTCGTCTGTATTTTTGTTCAAGCTACTCAAATTTAGTTTTGTCAATATTAATAATAATCTTTAAAAAAAAGGAATACGGTGAAACCACCTTGTCTAAAGCGCTGGAAGAACTGGAAACGCGCCATCCGTTCTAAATCTGATGCTAATCTGTCTAGCCTTGGCAGAACCATACCCCGATCTTCGCAGAACTCCTGTGTGGAAATGGGAAACACACATTTCAATTTAGTCATTTAAATTTTTATGTTAAAATGACTTTTTTAAAAAAATAATTTTTATTAATGTATCGAAGACAAATTCTTATAATTTTCCCGTTTTCAAAAGTTAAAGGTAGGAGCAGTTTTTTAGCCGACATTATCTCCACGCGTCAAGACCTTCTGATTGAAAGAGGTGTGTGTAAGTGCTTGAGATCAAAAGTGTTCCTTGTTTGGCCGTTGTTCGTGGAGAGTGTCAGGCAAAGTATACATATGCACTTGTTACAGTGCATAGACAACTACTTAATGAAAAAATATGTAAACAGTTAATATAAATATTAACAGCTAATATAAATATTGCACAAGAGCTAAAAAATTAAAATGCCTTACAGAAAATAAGTCGAAATTATTATTCCTAAACCCCCTAGCCAATAAGCCTCTTATCAATTG